TCTATTCTTGCATGCTGCCAGCCGATCCATGGCATGCTGCAGCCTGCTGCTGATCATTGCCGAATGCGTGCGTGCGTGCAGATTGCCACCCTTGTCGCGGTCATTCCCACCATCGGGTTCGCGCACATCCGGGGCATCGGATGGGGTTGGGCGGGCGTGATCTGGCTCTACAGCGTCGTCACCTTCCTGCCGCTGGACGTGTTCAAGTTCGCCATCCGGTACGCGCTGAGCGGCAAGGCGTGGGACACGCTGTTCGAGCACAAGATCGCCTTCACCACCAAGAAGGACTACGGACGGGAGGAGCGGGAGGCGCAGTGGGCCACGGCGCAGCGCACCCTGCACGGCCTGCAGATGCCCGAGCTGGCCGGCAGCATCCTCAGCGACCGCACCAGCTACCGCGAGCTCTCCGAGATCGCCGAGCAGGCCAAGCGCCGCGCCGAGGTGGCCAGGCTCAGGGAGCTCAGCACGCTCAAGGGCCAGATGGAGTCCGTCGTCAAGCTCAAGAGCCTCGACAGGGAAGGCGTCCAGCAGCACTACACCGTGTGATGGCTGGCTCGCCGTCACCGGATTCGACGGCACGGCCGCCGCTTTCCTGCTCTGGCTCGTCGCGCGTTTTCAGTGACGGCGCCACGCCAAGCAGGTGGCCGTCGCTTGGAACTGAGTGAATACACTCTACGTACGTTTGTTCATCCTAGACTGCCTTGCTAACAGCGTTTTGGTCACATATACAGCTTTAAACTGTCACAAAAGTGTAGTGTATTTATAAATTATTGTTGTACTTACTGGGAAATAACAACAGGAGTTGCAATGGTTGTGATGATTGATGAAGTCTTTTATCCTTGCATCTGCCTTGTATCCAAGTCCGTTAGTTGTTTCCATACTTTATCCAAAGAAGAAAGCATGACTTGTAATAGGTTGGTCAGGAAATCGTGCAGCAAATGTAAAATTATGTTATAATATAAATTCGCTGTGGATATCATTTTCTTTCTTGAAGGCGTCGTTGTTACGCACTTACCTCCATTGCTTCACTCGATCCTTTGTTCCTCTTCCTGGATCTGCCCCTTGCTATTCCTGTGTGCCTCATGTTCTTCGCAGAGGTCTGCCCTACTCGAGTGCTTGGCCTAGTCACCGTCGTTTGGTCTTTGGTGGATGTTTTTTGTTGCTGTCCTTGGTCCCCTCTCTGGCAGATACTTGCTGCTGTCGAGTGTATGCAGGCCTTTCACCTTGCGGATGCTTTGCCGCCAAGGTTGATTTGATCCTGCCGGGCGGATGATTGGTTGTCGTTGTTGCTGGTTCACCTTGCGGATACTTTGTTGCAGTTACTGTCCTGGGTCCCCTCTCTGGCAGATACTTTGTTGCCGAGTGTGTGCGGGCCTCTCACCTAGTGGATGCTTTGCCGCCAAGGTTGCTTTGTTCCTCTCGGGCGGATGCTTTGCCACTGTTGTTGCTGGTTCTTCATCTCTCTGGGTGGTTGCTTTGCCACCGTTGCCTGGTTTGCTCAGCAGGCAACTTTTGTGTTGTTGTATCTCCTTCTCGCACGTTATGGCTAGTAGAGTTTGTGGTCTGTGGGTTCCTTCCCTTCGCTGTTCTTTCTCTCTTTTTTCTCTCTTTGGTCAGCTTCAGTTCACTTGCCACCAGTTTGGTGGTTTGTAACCTACGTGATGAGGGCTCCTCGTAGCAGTGTCTTGTAATTTTTTTTTCCTCTTAATAGAATACTCCCTCAGTCCCGGATTAAAAAAAAAGCTTCTAAATGGAGTGAGTGTGTAGTTTTTTCACAGAGGAAAGAAAAACACGGTCATTAACTAGAATGGGTGTTTGGAGCGTAGGAATCTATAACACCGGAAAAACCGAGAAGTAACATGTTAATTGCTTCTTCCCTCATGCATTACTTACATGAAAACCAGAGCTCACGGTGGATGTTTTATTTCCTCCGTTTTGTGAAGGAGAGCTTTCCTTTCTTTTGGAACACGGGGACTCATTCCTCCATTCAAACAGCAATTCTCTAGACCTTTTCTCTTGATTCAATTCCTCTACTTTTCCTTTGGTTTTTCTCTGTTCCAAACGGCCCCCTAGGTTTCAAAATTTTCCCCTTGATAGAAGGTCATTATAGGGTCTGTAGCAGCCTAAAGCTGCCAGTTGAACAGCTGCAAGGATCAGCAACGAAATAAAAAAATAGACATAGAAAAAAAGGAAAAGTAAGCCTTTGGACCACTCGTTCGGTCATACCGAGTGTCCTCTCCATTTCCCTTGCCTGTAGACCGCACAACAAGCGTGCGCGAAGAGGTGTGGGTCCGCAGGTGACATGATGGCACTAACTTGTAGTACAGAAGCAGGGGCAATTTTGTAATTTTACACATAATATTGGTTTTTCTCGAATACGCAAAAGGTTTACGTATCTTTTAATTAAGACGAGAAATAGTAAAAGTTACAACGACACGCCATGGACGTGGCAAACTAGGATGGGGGGATAGTGTTGTATAATCGGCTCTACCCTCCCTAGTGTAAGAAGATCATGGGCTATTACTTGTTAATCATATTACATAGCCATCATCGGCGGATTAGACGCGCTGGCGTGCGTGGCGCCTCGGTTGCTCTCCTTGTGGGTCTGGGAAGAGCCGTCGCATTGCCTCAACATGTGAGAAGTTGAGCTGGTCGACGAAGATGCTATCGTAGCCGTCCACGGACGCCCTAACATTAGTACACGTGCATAATCCTAGGTGTACAAATATTTGGCTTGTTCGGCTTTTTTTTCAGCGGGAACAGTGTTTTCTCTCACAATAATTCAGCCTAACATTAGTATACGTGCATAATCCTAGATGTACAAATATATTAGGACGGAGAGTACTTGTCAATGCATGTTGCCGAGACATGTTCTTGAAAAAATATAAACAAAATTTGCTGTAAATTTTGTGAGAGAAGACTGCAGCAGCCGTTTTTTCTCCTCTCAAGTAACACTGTAGCAGCTCTTCTCTCATAGAGCACTGTAGGAGCAGCCCCCGAACAAACCCACATTCATGTGAATTCATATTCTGGAAAACAGAGTTTCATACGTACGCACAATAGAGATCTTGAAAAGCAAAAGCCCAAATAAGCACAGCTTTTTTTTTTTGACAACAGGTCCGTTGTTGTGTTGATTGGCCAGTAAGCTACCGGTGCTGGACTGGCAATCAACTTATCAACATGACTCACAAATATCTCCTCATCTCTGTCTCACAAATATCTCCCACTTGTCCTAAAAAGAAATATTGATGGACGATCCTGATAATCGCGCCTTGGCGCTAATTTTGCTGCTGCCTGCGATAAAAATGTATTATAAGAACCTTCAGACAGTTATGTTAAAATGTGATCTTCAACTCAAGACAGATTGTTTTCTCTAATCTCTAACTAAAAGAACAGGGAAGGCCCCTCTCTCAGCCGCATTGTGGCGCGCACGCGAGCCTAGGCCCTAGGGGGGTCCATGACTTCTAGCACGCACACGGACCCGTGCCCCTAAAGTCTTCTAGTATCTACTGAATTAATTAATGAATAATCTCTATTCTTATTTTTTTAGAAAACCGTATGATGATGGTCAGGAGCAGGTCCAGATTGCTTTCCAGCCTAAGGACTGTTGCACCCATTGCATATGTTTCAAAGGCATGTTGCAAGTTTTTCAGAGGTTTGTTTCAAATGTTTCATCTGTTCCAGACATATGTTGCAAGGTTCTAATCTGGATGTTGCATATGTTTCACACATATGTTGTAAAAATATGTTCAAAATGTTTCAGCTGTTTTAGTCTTATCTTCCGGTCAGTATTTTTCGTGTTGCAAGTTGCAAGTGTTTTATCTAGATGTTGCATATGTTTCACATATATGTTGCAAGTGTACGTTCCAGATGTTTTATATGTTTCATACATATGTTGCATTCAAATGTTCCATATTCCACGTGTTTCATGTTGTTTGGAGAGTCAATGGGCGCGGGGAGTTATGGTGGCATGGCATGGGCACCGGGGAATGAAGCGTGACAAGCTAAGTTTTCGACGGGCACGCGACGTGTCGGTGTCCTATGCAATTGTTTCATATGGATGTTGCACATGTTGCATATGTTTCAGAGGCATGTTGCAAATTTTTCAGAGGTTTGTTCCAAATGTTTCATCTGTTCCAAACATATGTTGCAAGCGTTCTAATCTGGATGTTGCATATGTTTCACACATATGTTGCAAAAATATGTTCCAAATGTTTCAGCTGTTTTAGTCTTATGTTCCAGTAAGTATTTTTCGTGTTGCAAGTTGCAAGTGTTTTATCTGGATGTTGCATATGTTTATGCTGCAGATACGGGCAAGGCTACACGGCTGTCCGGATTTACGTGTCTGTCTAAACGTACGTACGCTAGCACTGTCGTTTTCCTTGTGTCCTCGAAACAAATACTCGTGGAGATACTGCACAGTGGCACGAGGCCGAGTTAGCTGGACCTGGAGTTTAGAGAACGTGGCTGGATCCGGGTCCAGACAACGTGATACGTCATACGTGCAAGCAACCAAGGGCCGACTCCGTGCCTGATTCCACGGTTCCAAGGACAGAAGGCTAAGGGCCTGTTTGGCTTCAGCTCTAAATAAAACAGCTCCACTCTAGAACTTCAGGTGGAGCTGGTTTTGAGTGGAATTAGAGTTGTCTGCAGGGAGTGTTTAGCTAGAAGGGTACTCTTAGCTCCATAATGGTGTTTTATCAGTGTGGATTGCCCAATTTGCCCTTGGTTAACATGAGTGTACTTCAATAATGCGTCCAGCAACAAAATAAGCATGTGAATTAAATTAAAGTACCAATATATTACAAGATAATCATGTCCAACAAATAGTCAGCACCAACATTAACGATGCCTTGAAAACAAGTCGTCAACTCATCTTCATTTTGAAGGGGGTGCTTCCTAAACTTCCCACAGCCTGGAATGTCCTGAAAATATGCAAGAGAGCAACATATATTAGTACAAATAATAATAGCAACTAATTAATAAATAGGGTAATATTCCTAAATACATATAACACTTATAGCTCTAGCTTTCTTCCACCATTCATCGTCCATATCAATAGTGCTATTATTACGGTTCCAACCGGTTCCTGTTTGCCTCATCTTAAGCTTTTTCCATGCCTTTAAATCTTTCTTCAATTTATCCCACTTGTTCTTCATTTGCCCCTTGGTCAATTCAATACCCGTTCTATCTTTGAATCCTTTTTCAACCGCAGCATAACCAACTGAATTCAAGAATGTATTTGGCCGGTTTCCTTTCTCAATTTGTTCAGCCATCAAACCACATAGGATCCGAGTGTTCTCTACGTTCCAATCAATTTTCGACATCTATACCAACTCAACACAAGTATTCAGTACATGCACAGTTCGCTAACATGAACTACAGAGCAACTATTTCACTACCAAAATTTCGCTAACATGAACTATAGAGCCTCGAATGGGGATGGAATACCTTGCATGGCGAGCAGATCTGGTCATGTCTTCAAGGTAGGGTTGGGGGAGTGTGCCGGTGGGGTCTGGCGCCGGAGCAGATCATCGGGCGGTGGCCGTCGATGCGGAGGAAGCCGGCCGTCGATGAGGAGGACGACCTTCTTCTCGTCGAGGGTTAGGGTTGGGGGAGTGGAGGCGCAAGGGAGGACCAGGGGAGTGGAGGCGCGGGGAAGGAGGCGAGGGAGGCAGGGGAATGGAAGCGTGGTGGCGGCGACGACTGGCGGGGTTGGCGTCGTGGGGGAGCGGCGTCGAGTGGGCGAGCGAGGCCGAGTATGGGCGCCCAGCAGATAGGGTTGAGTTGGAGGGGGGTAAAAACATAAGGGAAATAACGGTTCGCTAGGTTGGAGTGTGTAATCGATGGTGATGGCGGGTAATTTCCTTGAACACATGTCTAGGTCTAATTCAAAGAGTTCTCTAGAGCTGGAAAAAGTTGCTCCAAGAGAATGAACTAGAGCTCCAATAACTCCATGGAGTTCGGCTGCTCCAACTTGTTTCTGGAGTTAGGGTGTTTGGCTAGCTAGAGCCAGCTCTAGCCAAGTTTGGCTCTGGAGCCATGCCAAACAGACTCTTAGAGAGTGTTTGAAACTGCTCCACAAACTCCACCGAAAAACTAGAGTTTATGAAACACGTCTTTAGATGCTCTCACAACTCCACCATTTTTTTTCGAGAGTGCATAGAGCTAAAACCATTTGACTAAAAATACGTGAACCGAGCTAAAAAAAACATGGAGCGGAGCAATTCCAAACACCCCTAAGTATCCCAGGTCCAAAGAGTTTGGGCGATTCAAACTTACGCGTCTTTCTTTCGGTTCCATAGCCACACAAGTCAAATTTATTTGGGGGGAAACAGAACAGCATTACACGATGCCGAGCGGTTGCTTTTCAAAACAAAATGATTTCAGGGTCCGTGTGACAATACAATTGGAGAAGCATCTTCTCAACATCCTAACGCTGCGGTATTAAACTTGATTCCGCAACCATGAACATGCAGTCAGAAACCAGATTGTGCCAGGGGGCAGATGAGGTGGCAACCATCTTTCATCAGGGAACAAAAAGGGTCAGGTTACAACCTGCTGTCAAGACTAGTCACTACTGATTGCATAAACATAATGTTTCAAAAAAAAAAGATTGCATAAACATAAACTAACAAAAATAGCATGCGAACACTTCCTTCAAGATGTAAGGTCTGAAAGGTTCATTTTTTCCAAAGGTATAAAGGTTGCTACAGACATTCTTCATACAGTATGAATATGATTACATTTAGGCTACATGTTACTATTAGAAGTGATCGGGTTAGCCATGTGCCGGAGGAGATGCTCCGGTACATCATACTGCATAGACAGCACCTAGACTCGGGCTACAACAGCACAGGACGATGTTATCCTGCAACATACTACAACAGCACAGGACGATGTTATCCTGCAACATACTATACCTCAGTACTTAATAAAAACAGGAGGCCTTGCAGAACAGATATCCTTGCTACAGACATGTTTTTACACCTCGGCAGATGCCTCGCGCTCGCCATCCAGACCGCTATGCCTCCTGCCACTGCGAGGGGATACATGAATTGAAGGTCTGGTTGGAGTGGACTGAAGAGAAGCAAAGGGAAACAAGACATGTCGGATCACCTTGGCTTATCAGACTTGGTGAAGTGCTTCGACATGATGGAAGCCTGCAACAAATTCAGTTCTTAAATGCAAGGTTACTCAGGACCAAACTATTGGCTGTCAAAGCATATACAACAACAAAATTTATTCATGTCAACTATAAACAGGATTCCATACAGTACAGTGTTGGCAATTACCATCATGTTGAGAACTCCTCCCTCTGTTCCTAACTGTAATCTGTTTTGTTTTGACTATTCTAGGTACACAGGTTTTATTATGCACTTAGATATACACTGTATCTAGATGTATAATAGAAACTCTAGAAAGCCATAACAACTTACTATTTCTTGTGGAGGGAGTACTTTCATTCAGAAACGATAAACAAAATATAAAATGCACAAACCTGCTCTTGGATGATGCTTCTTGCTTCAACCAGTTGAGCTTCAAGCTCAAGCTCCCGGTCAGTTGCCTCTGAAGTCACTTCTGCACCTTTCTGAGCATCTTGAAGTTGTGTCATTCGTGCCTGGTTGTCATCAGAAATAATTACCATGAAGTAATGAAAACAAGTGTGTATGGAGAAACAGCAATTATAAGATGGGGATAGTGTCTCAATCCAGTGGCTCCTACCTTGATTGAAGTCATTTTTGTGCGCAAACTCTCTTCTATATGATCTCTGGCCATATGAAAGGGCAGGTCAAAGACATCCTGCCGAAGTGGAAACAAAAAATGATCATGTGACTCCAACTATACAGAAGTTGCCAACATAAATAAAGAGAAAGTGTGACTTAATACATGGCAGAGAACCATGTAAATTCAAAGGGAAGAAAAACAGAGGAAACCAGCAGTGTGACATGTAAAGATCCGGCATTCATACCGTCTTGCCACCAAGTGGAGACTGAGGAGACCCTGACTCCTGTCTTCCATTAGCAGTAACAGTAGGTTGTGATGACCCATTTGGGGCATTGAGGAACTCACGCATGTCCATCTGAGGTAAAACATTATCATTTGGATCAACAAACTGTTTGACACTTTATGATTAGATATGACACTGATGCTCACATATGTTACCACGGTGGTTTCTGGGTCTATCAAATACAGTAACTACAGGTTTTGTACAAAAAGTAAAAACTATCAAACAGTTACTCCTTCCATTTCAAATTGTAGTTATTTTAGCTTTGTCCCAATCAAACTTTTCTTACTTTGACCAAGTTTTTAAAATAATATATATTAACATCTACAAATTCAAATAAATAAATGCTTTGTCAAGACATATTTCATGAATAATTTAATGAAACTAATTTGATGTTGGTGCATTTTTCTATAAACGTGGTCTAAGTTAGAGAAATTTGACATAGGACAAAAGCTAAAGTGAACTATAATTTGGAACAGCGCGAGTACTAGTTTAACAAGCAGCCAATACAAGGAATACGAATCCAGTTCTGTTACATACATTATAACATACAAAAGCAGGGAATAAAACCTGAAACATCACATTTCTTTTACCTGCATTGAACGTAACAGTGCCCGTAAATCTGCATTCTCTTGCATCAGCTCTTGTTTCTTCACTTCATATGCATCAACCTGAATACATGCTCGATGTACATCAGAATAAATTCAATCAGATCTGCATTTCAGAATTGCATTACTGCTTACAATCATTTTGTAATAATCATTGTCATTCTTTTTTCCATTCCATGTTCCACGTTGCCGTCCTTCTTTCTGTTAAGTTCAGTAGCCAAATAAGATTCAAAAACAAAATAAGATAAGATAGCATTAAGAATTAACATTCAGGAAGATTCACAGGCATATCACCTGCAACAAGTTCATTATCTCCATTCCAGAACGGGATGATTCTTTTTTCTTCTCCATCAATACCTGGTTTAGCTTCTCCTGCAAAATAGGCATAGGTACTTTCAGTGCATTGTGATGCTGTTTCTGCTACAGAGTCGCCCATTAAAGGTATAAATACTTGCCTGCAACTTTATGTATTCCTTCTCTTTCTTCTTCATTTCATGAATTTGCTGGGTGCGTACTTGCTTGCAGAAGAACCAAAGTAGGTCAGGACAGGTTCAACTTACCTCATCAGCAAACATCAATGCAATAATAAACTAAACATGCTAGGGTTAGGATGATTTTCAAAGGAATAAAATAAGGCAGTCTAACCTGATTTCCTATAACCATTTTCTGAAATTCATCACGTTCTTGCTGCAGCTTATCAATCTGAGACTTCAGAGCAGCAGTGTTTTTGGCCTCCTGATAATTGAAAAGAATTTAGAATCCCAAGAATGGTCAAGAAACCAAAGAGGAGTTGATACAAGGACAAACCGTTCGAGTAAGAGTGGCTAGCTCTCGATCTTTCGCTGCTAATTGAGCATCCATTCTCTCAATCTTGGCTTCCAGTCGTGATATATCAGATTGCATCCTGAACATTGCATAACATTAATCAAGCAGCCATTAGTCAGTCTCAAGCAGCATTGGTAAATTCTCGAAATGCTGCAGTCAATTGCATTAATGTGGCCACCCAATTGAATGGCATGAACGCATAATGGAATGAAGCAAACTGACTTCTGTTCATTTACACCAAAACTCAACAATATTCTGGCAGAACTGTCCAAATGCTGCAATCAAATGAATTAACCTCCTCACCTAAACTGATACAACATGCATGAACATAGGAAAGAGCTGATAACAAAATCATGGTATGTTGATCTAATACTGACTCGTGGCAAGCAAACAATGCCCTGCAGCACATCAGCACTGTGAAGGAATGGGCTCTGGACAAATAGTACCATGCAGGTGCAACTAATGATGACAAATAGAACAACGTATTTAGTTGTTAGGTGCACCTAATTACAAAATAGACATATTTCACACGTCTGCAGGTTATATCAGACAAATAGGAGGCACGAGCAATAAAATTTCAATACCAACAGGACTGTAGAGGAGACACAAATGTTGAAAGGGCAAAAGAGGAAGATAGATGAAAAAGGACAAAGGGTGCCATGTTGCCTGTTGGTGGTGACAGGGTTGGCTCATGGCACAAAGTGGTACACAAAAAGTATATGGTACTGATGTCAGGAAAACAAATAATTGCCTGACTATTTTGATGGTAGAACTGCACTGTGATGTCAAGATTCAAAACAGTATTCCATAATATTAACTCAAAATGGTTATATAATTAAGTTTTCACTATGTCTGATTGGGTTGGTTCAGTAAAAAGAATAAGAACATCAGGTAATTGCACTGTGAAATTTAAACTTGTACAGGCAAGCAAAAAAAATCAAATTTCTCAGATTCAACCAGCAATAAACACTAAAGGCATATTTCAGGTTTCATAACATGGGCCTCTAACTCCTGCAATTCTTTTGACTTATGATATATTAACTCAAAATTAGGTAATAAAATTGAATGACAACAATAATGTCATGTGAGAAGAATAACCAGCATCTATCACTACCAGTCAGTACTAAGTTTAGTGATGCAGCACTATGTCTAGTAGTGTATCACTAATCAGTGCTGCCCTCCAGATCTGGTGACAATTCACAGTTAACAGGTTGGCACTGTCTAAGAACATCCGAATTACAACATGAAGCAGAATGGAAAGAAATGGCAAGTGCAAGGCTCACCGCTGCCGCTGGTCATTTGTGGACTCCCTGAACTCAATATCCCTCTGCCGCTGCTGCAGCAGTGCATAGATGCAGTTACATGTTCTTGCAATCGAGACCTGCACAACAGAACCCAAAAAGAGGTGTGGTAAGTTTACAGAGAAAAGCACATGAAAGAAAACTTAACAGCCATCTTCTTGGATTGATCTCCAAATTCCAAAAGAAGTTGCTCTACACTACCACTGCGCGGAACCACAAAATTCACAATGTTATAAAAAATCACAATATATTAGTGAAAATATATCAGAAGATCTTACTAAAAATTGAGGGGAACAACGTAACAATCACCATAGCATTCCTACTGGAGAAAGAACATATGATTATTGGAAAGACACGGACAAAACCCAAAAGGTAACCCAGATAAAGACAATGGAAGATGGAATAAAGAGATAGAGGAAAATTAAGCAGGTATCCAGGAAAACGGATAGAGGCGAAATACCAGAAGGATCGACGAATTGGCCTCGGAAATTTGTTTTTTTATATACAAATGGCGACAAGATAAATCCCGTAAACCCCGAAATCATAAGCAAACGAACCCCTGCAACCGAAATGAATGCATAAACGTGAAGCAGCGGCGGGCCGAGTGGGGGAGAGAGGGAAGACGAGGGTACCGGATCGGTGGCGAAGAGGTCGAGAGATGCGGGGAATCCGAAGGTGACGAGCGTCTGGTTAAGGTACCGGGCGCAGTGCTCCAGGTTCCCCGCGTTTGCGAACGCGCCCCCTTCGCTGCACGAACAAGCCACGCCGCACACCACCGCCATCAGAACCAAACCGCCTCGAACCCGAGAGGGAGGTAGAGAGAGAAGGGAGGTCGCGATGGCGCTCACCTCATGCTGGCGTGCGACGGCGGAGGCTGCAGCTGCTGCGACGAGGCCTGCATTGGAGGGAGGATGTAAGAGGCGGCGAGGGGAGGGCGGCGGATCTGGAGCCGGCCGGCTGGGGGCTAGGGTTTTACCCGGAGATCCAAGCGCGCCGACGACGACATCCGCCGCAGCGCGCGCGAGAGAGAGAGGAGAGCGAGAAGGGGAGAGATCTGAGAGTTGATGGGTGGATGGGGATGGATGGATGATGAATTGACGACGGCGAGTAGTATTGGGTGGAGAAGAGAGCGATTTGAAATGGTAGCGAGGGGGAGAGCTGGGAGGACGGGGACGGTGGGGACTGCCGGGCTCGGAAGGGCAGGCCGGCAACGGTAAGGTAGGGCCGTGATGTCTGTCGCACGGATGGTCAGAGACACAGAGACCTGATCTGGAGAGAGGGACTGCTTCTGCTGGGCCCGACTACCGATTGACTGCGTGGACCAGGGGCACGTGACAGCTTAGAGCATCGGCGGTTCCCAGTATCCCATAAAACTGTCATAGAGCCAGATATATTTTGTTCGTGCTCCTGCAGCTTCCAAATACCTCTTTTTTTTTCAGGTGGCCACCGATATTTCCCTCATCTCCTCTAAAAAAGAATGTGGATTATTACAACTACCACTTTTCAGCCATATTTTCTCTTACACTCCTGTGGGACCCACTTTCCATATGGGTATTAGGGGCGATATATTGGGGTACTGCTATAGCAACTCCCCCAATATTAATAAAAGATGATATTAAGCTATCCCAATATATGTAGATTGGGGAAAGATTATTAGGGAACTGCTGGATATGCTCTTAGGGCTCAACCTGGTGTACTTGGGGCAGGAAATTTTTCTTTTTTAACTTCATGTTTACGAGCGGCTCTAAGCCACCGCAATAGCTAGTTAGTAGCTCTAGGATAACTTCTCCAATAATACTAATTTTTATCACATAGTTTATAATATAGATAGCCTTACATGTCACTCTCAGATAATTTTGAAATATGTGTAAGAGTTTAGCTCTCGATCAAAACTAGTTTTTCTCTCTTTTTTTATTAAAATATAAAAAAATGCTTAGACCTAGTTAAGAGGTTTCGGGTGGGAGTGCCTCGTCCTCAACTCTTGATCAAGATGACGTGGTCAGGTTGGAGGTCGCACAGTCGATCGAACTTACCTTGACCGCCCAGTTATGTAGTAGAGATAGAATAAGGGGCAAAAAGAAGGCGGATCGTGGGTCTAGCTACTGCACACGGAGAGAGGAATAGTGTCACCACTTCAGGGGTTTGACTCGGTCGGAGACATCCTTAGGCAACTACAACCAATTCGTCCGAAATTTAATCCCCTACATCCAGAAATGAGAGTTCCTCCTCCAGATTACATCCCTCAGTTATCTCTGCACTCCAACTGAACCCTCATTTCAGCCTCCCTATATTTCTCTCACCTATATTTTATATATAACTTCTAACTACCAACTCCAGCATTTTATAGCTAAACCGTGTTATTTCAAATTGGTATTATTAGAATGGATATTTGTTAACAATATTTTTGTATGGCTAAATATTGGAGAAATTATTTTTTCAGATAGTTTGCAACTATTATTTTTTGGTTTGTCAGTCTTCGAATGGCTATATATTTGAACAGTCACTCTTCCAACGGCTAGAAATCAAAAGGTCGCCCTTCCAACGGCTATATTTCAAGTGCTCTATCTCCAACAATTATATGTTTTCGATCTATATATATATGTATGGCCATTCCATTTCCTAAACCAATTCCGATATTGTGTTGCTTCTTCTCCACTGAAAATGAGTAGTCTCTCTCGACTAGATTCATCTTCCTCGTCTGATGACGGTGATGATGATCTTGAGGACACCCTTACTACATTACACCAAGCACACACTCAATATCAAGCTCTCCATGCTCCACGATGCGGTGGTTCTGTACCTGGGCATCAGTACATTCATCGGGACAAAGAAAGTGGGCACTGGAGGTTGTACAATGACTATTTCTCCGAAAATCCAACCTACGGGCCACCTTTCTTTCGGCGCAGGTTTGCTAATAGCCTGTAATTTTTGTCTACCTTCTTTATCCACATTAATATGTCCATGTTTGCTTAGTTTGGATTTGTCCCTCAGGTTTAGGATGTCTCGTACGCTATACCTTCGCATAGTGCAAGTTGTAGAGCAATATAATAATTACTTCGAGCAAAAAAAGAGATAGAGTTGGATGACTCGGGTTATCATCTTTGCAAAAGATTACTACAGCTTTTTTATGATTAGTTATGGAGTACCAGCTGATTTCATGGATCAATACATTCGTATTGGTGAAAGTACTGTCATACAAAGCCTTAGAAGGTTTGTCAAAGCTGTTGTTGAAGTGTTTGGAGAGGAGTATGTGAGATCCCCTAATGAGAATGACATCGCTAGATTGCTTGCAATCGGGCAGCGGAGGGGTTTTCCAGGAATGCTTGGGAGTTTGGATTGCATGCATTGGAGGTGGAAGAATTGTCCTAACCCATGGCGCGGACAATATACTGAGCATGAGCACGAGCCTACAATAATACTCGAAGCAGTTGCATCACATGATCTTTGGATTTGGCATGCCTTTTTTAGTTTACCAGGGTCACACAATGATATCAATGTTCTTCATCGTTCCCATCTATTTGCAAAGCTAGCCTAAAGAGATGCCCCGAAAGTTTATTTTAGCATTAACGGTAATAATTATACAATGGGGTACTACCTTGTAGATGGCATCTACCCCCAATGGGCGACATTTGTGAAGACCATATCAAATCCCCAAGGGAATAAGAAGAAATACTTTGTCAAGGCACAAGAAAGTGGTTAGGAAGGATGTCGAAAGAGCTTTTGGGGTTCTTCAAGCTCAATTTGCCATTGTTCGTGGACCAGCTCGTATGTGGGATAAAGCAACACTTAGACAAATAATGACAGCTTGTGTCATCATGCACAACATGATCGTTGAAGATGAGCGCAGTGAAACGAAGATGAAGACGACCATTACGAGGGTGTCGGCTAGCTTGTGAATTCATACAAGCTCATCACAATATCACAAACTGGCAAATCCACACCCAACTTCAGCACGACCTTATCGAGCACCTTTGGCAACAGCCCCCGGACATGTATCAGTAGTGTACCGTATTATCCATGTAGTCTTGTACCCTCTATTTTATCAGTCATGTATCCTCTATTTTATGAGTCATGTATCAGTCATGTACCCTCTATTTTATCAGTCATGTATAAGTCTCGTACTCTCTATTTTTAGTCATGTATCAGTCAAATTCATCAGTCATTTGCGCACACAATTTAACAATAACTACACATAGAGGTCCATAATCGAGCCACAAATTATGCTTACATAGTTCCTTGGAGAACAAACATACTGATATATAATTTAAATAAACATAGTCCATAGTGCACACACAAAACACAAACAAAACACGATGCCTCTAGTTGCTAGCACCACAACGTCGAGCAATGATCTCATCCTGCAATGTCTTATAGAATACCTTTCGTTGCTCACTCATACTAGTAAGGTCCATTTTCATAACTTTCTCATCATCTTCTCTCCGTTTCAACTCTATTTCTTGTTGCATTAAATCCAGCCTCCTATTCTCTACTTGTTGCTTGATTTCAAGCCTTCTAGTCTCTACCGCAAGCCTCTCATCATTACATTCTTTTTTCTTAATCTCCCTCATCTCTTCGGCCTTTTCTCTCTTTGCCCACAATTTTTCCATTGCCTCCATGTAAAGGCCTTCTCCTTGGGAGTTAGGATTTCCAAACATGCGTGCTTTCTCCTCCTTACCATCTGGCCTTTCTTTCCTTGGTGATGTATGACTTGGTCCCTCCTCTTCATCAGCATGCTTATTTTCATGAGTTCCAGGTGTACATGACCCTGGACTTGCAGTTGAGGACGTCTTGTGTTTTTTCTAAGAGCTTTAAGAGGTTTCACAACCTAGATCAGCTCACTTTTGCTCATGCTTTAACTTATTCCAGCAGTGCATGAAAGTAAATGATTTCCCCTCCAGATCTTTTGCCTGATACATTTTCTTTGCCTGTTCTATCTGCACAAGAAACATGTGTTGGCTACCCCTCCGGATCTTTTGCCTGATACATTTTCTTTGCCTATTCTATCTGCACAAGAAACATGTGTTGGCTACGATGCACAAAACATATACATTTTCAATCAATTAACACAATTAAATAACTTACCCTATCTTGCTCTATCAACCCGCTTTCTTTTCTATTCTGAACCTGAGTATACCATCACAAAATCTATTAACACTTTTGTGGATGATACCCCAACGGTGAGAGAGAGAACTGATATTACGGTCTTACTCAAAAGTCTTGTGCTCATGATAGTAATCATGAATTCGCTTCCAATAGCTACTATGAGTTTGATCAGTGCCCTGAACTGGATCCAAGCTAATTTCTAGCCATGCTGTCACCAGCATATTGTCTTCATGGGGGGTGAAATTTCTAGTCCTCTTCTTACTTGGTTTCAAGGGGGGAGTTGATTGTTCAGCAACTTGTTCAACATGTGTTTCAACTTGAAAGTCATAAAAAAAATAGATCATTGGTGTCCCTGTTGGCTGAGACCAAATCAACCCAACTCTGCATTTTTTCTTCCTGCATATAGGAATTGTCTTCAATAATTCTAAGAACACAAAAATCAACTTGAACTACTAAATAATGAGACCTTAATTTGTCTACAACCAGCATATAATATTCAATAGGTTAAACAATCTCATGAAAGTCATGGTTTTTAAGGCAGCAAGGCGAGGTGTGGTGACCTATCACCCTCACAACCCCTTGGCAACGCCAGCGTTCATAAGGCGAGGCGGCGCCTTGCCATCCTAAGAAATAGGAAAATAGCAGCAGGAAGGAGCTTTTATAATTTCCAATCAATTTCAACAAACAAACATTCATATGGCACATTGATATAATGATACCAACATGCCACCATTTATGAATTAATTTCTGGAATCACAAATCTCAAGTCAATCAATGAAATCACATAGTACACACGTC